GGGATCATGATTCAGGGAGCCCCAAGGAGGGTCTACCATAGACTGTTGCTTTTTAAAGTAACTAGTGGCAATGCTTTAAATTGTCTTTGTAGATTTAAGGACCTGCGGTCCAGATGTCTCCGTTTAGCATGCAAACCCCTTTACCTCCGAGCTCCCTCCTATTTCTGCCTCTCTCCTTTACTTCAAGCTACCACGGTTTACACAGTATAATGCTAATGGATAACTTTCCATTCCTTTTCGTTGTTTTCCACTCCTCCAGCGAGTTGAAGAGCCCTTCTAGGCCCTTCAGCCCTAAGCTTTGTATTTCCTTTTTATGGCAAACCAGGAGAAACGAATAGTATCTTTGCCGACTTTTCTCTGCAAATGCCTTTCTTAGTAATCTATAATCACACAAACTCCCTTAGAAAACACATAATCAATTTAACATTTTTCATATTGTCTGAAAGAAATGACTTTAAGTTAGAAATATTTTTATTGTGTGTCATCATGTTTTAAACGTTGTACTATAATCATTTCAGTATACCTTTAAATATTTAATGAAGACAAATTTCACTTTCCACATTAATTTAGTGATGGGCTATATTTAATTTGTTTTAAAATAATTGGGTCAGGAAAACCAAGTGTGTTAACAAATGAGTTGTAAAAATGGTATGATTATATTTAGCTTCAAGACTGAATGTATAAGAAAGTATATACTGTTATAGCATCAAGAGACAAAACACTTTTACAACATGATGTTCAGAATATTTGAAATTATTCTTAGACATCAGTGGGTGATTTGATGATTTTTTATTTATTTATTTGAGACAGAGTTCCTTTCACTCTTGTTGCCCAGGCCGGAGTGCAATGGCGCGATCTCGGCTCACTTTTGAACCCAAGCGGCGGAAGTTCAGACACCTCTTCCCTTCCCTGCTGTGCCTCCCTGCCACTCCCGCTCTTTGTCACTCTCTGCCACTCTCTTTCTCTGCTCCTCTCAATGTTCAACCACTTGTGTCTGTGCCTGCTAAGGTCTCAGATTTATATTGGCACAGGATGGGGGCACAGCAGGTCAGAGGGGTCTTGAGAAATGCAGCATTTGGGTGTGAAAACAGGAATGCCTGTTCTCACTTAGGTTCATGGGCACAGGCCTGAGGGTGGATCCCTCACCAGGGACCCCGCCTTTCTCTGCCCAGCACTTCCCTGCCTCCCTCCAGTATCAGTACAAACCTCCGCCACCGGGGTTCAAACGATTCTCCTGCCTCAGCCTCCTGAGTAGCTGGGGTTACAGGTGCCCACCACCATGCCCACCTAATTTTTGAATTTTTTAGTAGAGACGGGATTTTGACATGTTGGCCAGGCTGGTCTCAAACTCCTGACCTCAGGTGATCCACTTGCCTTGGCTTCTCAGTGCTGAGATTACAGGTGGGAGCCACCGTGCCTGGCCTATTTTGTTAATTTTTAGGCTTTTTCCTTCCTAAATGATGAGACTAGAGAGAAGTTAGCCTGCCACTTGGAAACATTCTCTCCAAATAACACATTGCAGGTGTGAATTCTGTTTGGCTTCAAAACCAAACCGAATATAATTTTCCTTATATTTACTCCATTTCACACTGGCATTTAGATTAATAGAATCATTCTGAGGCCATCCCTGACATTTTTATCAGATGTATGCGAATAATAGAACCGTCAGTGATCATGCAGAGGTAAACTTTCAGAATTAGTGTCTTTTTGTTAACTTGGTGTTATAACATCAAAATTCTTTACACGTCTTATACTCAAATTCACATTGTGAGAATAAATTAAATGCTTAGAATAAAAGCAATTTTAACTGTTTCTTCCTACTTCTATGCAGGTGGACAACTATTTCTAAACTGAATCACAAGCGTGCTCTTCTGATTCCTATCTGCTGTGCATGGTTACTTGATATGCAGTTGGAGGCTTGCAATGTTTTGTATTCTGAAAGGGAGAAGCTAAATACCTACTGATATTTTTAAAGAAAGAATTAAAAACAAATCCCATTTCTGCCTTTACAATGCGATCCCCAAAAGCCTTTCTAAACAAGTAGCTAAAAAAAATGCTGAAAATGAATAAATAGTATCCCTGTCCTTAAGGACCTCCCAGCCTGTTAGAGAGATGGGTGAGTAAACCGTGTGGTGCAGGAACTGATACTGACCATTGATGGGCACGAAGTATTACGGGAACACAGAGAGCAGGCACTGACCTGCTTTAGGAATGCCCGGGATTATTTACTAAGAGAACAGACACAAAAGAGGGCAACTTGGATCGGCCCAGAAGCCTTGCCTGGTACTCACCCAGGGCCTGATGTAGATGTCACTCAGGGGTGCCCAGCAGCTTGTCACAGCTGACAGCACAATGCTTATTATTGGTTTACTTGTTCATCTTTCTCCACAAACTGGTAAGCTCCTTAAAAGCAGGAACTTATGGAACAGAAGAGAGGCCTCAGGCAATGCCACACATCTACAACCATCTGATCTTTGACAAACCTGACAAAAACAAGCAATGGGGAAAGGATTCCCTGTTTATTAAATGGTGTTGGAATAATTGGCTAGCCATGTGCAGAAAACAGAAACTGGACCCCTTCCTGACACCTTACACTAAAATTAACTCCAGATGGATTAAACACTTAAACCTAAGACCTAGCACCATAAAAACAGAAGAAAATCTAGGCAAAACCATCCAGAACATAGGCATAGGCAAGGACTTCGTGACTAAAACACTAAAAGCATTGGCAACAAAAGCTAAAATAGACAAATGGGATCTAATTAAACTCCAGAGCTTCTGTACAGCAAAAGAAAAAACAATCATTAGAGTGAACCGGCAACCATCAGAATGGGAAAAAACATTTTGCAATCTACCCATCTGACAAAGGGCTAATATCCAGAATCTACAAAGAACTAAAACAGATTTACAAGAAAAAAAGCAAACAAACCCATTCAAAAGTGGGCAAAGGACATGAACAGACACTTTTCAAGACATACATGAGGCCAACAAACATATGAAAAAATGTTCATTATCATTGGTCATTAAAGAAATGAAAATCAAAACCACACTGAGATACCATCTCATGCCAGTTAGAATGGCGATCATTAAAAAATCTGGAGACACAGATGCTGGAGAGGATGTGGAGAATCAGGAACACTTTTACACTGCTGGTGGGAGTGTAAATTAGTTCAACCATTGTGGAAGACAGTGTAGCGATTCCTCAAGGACCTAGAAATAGAAAGTCCATTTGACCCAGCAATCCCATTACTGGGTATATATCCAAAGGATTATAAATGTTTCTATTATGAAGACACATGCACACGTATGTTCATTGCGGCACTGTTTACAAAGACCTGGAACTAACCAAAATGCCCATCAAGATAGACTGGACAAGGAAAATGTGGCACATATACACCATGGAATACTATGCAGCAATTAAAAAAATGATGACTTCATGTCCTTTGTAGGGACATGAATGAATCTGGAAACCATCATTCTCAGCAAAATGACACAAGAACAGAAAACCAATCACCACATGTTCTCACTCATAGGCGGATGTTGAACAATTAGAACATTTGGCCCTGGAAGCAGGGGGAGTATCACACAATGGGGTCTGTTGAGGGGGACTAGGAGAGGGACAGAGGGGGGTAGGGAGGTTGGGGAGGAATAACGTGGAGAAATGCCAAATATAGGTGACGGGGGATGGAGGCAGCAAACCACATTGCCGTGTATGTACCTATGCAAAAATCCTGCATGATCTGCACATGTACCCCATAACCTAAAGTACAACAAACAATAAATCTATATAAAAAAAGGCAGGAACTTTGTCAGTGTCTACAGTGCCTGCTGATGCATACAAACTATAAGTAAATATAAGGAGTCTGGGATGATGAAAATACTTTTTAATTTTTTTTTTGAGACGGAGTTTTGCTCTTGTTACCCAGGCTGGAGTGCAATGGCGCGATCTGGGCTCACCGCAACCTCCGCCTCCTGGGCTCAGGCAATTCTCCTGCCTCAGCCTCCTGAGTAGCCGGGATTACAGGCATGCGCCACCATGCCTAGGTAACTTTTTGTATTTTTAGTAGAGACGGAGTTTCACCACGTTGACCAGGATGGTCTCAATCTCTTGACCTCATGATCCACCCGCCTCGGCCTCCCAAAGTGCTGGGATTACAGGCTTGAGCCACCGCGCCCGGCCTGATGAAAATACTTGTACTCTAAGATGGCTGATGTTTAAAGACAGTATTTTATGTCTATACCATGATATGTTTAAGGCATGTGTATTCGTGTCTGAAATGCCAGTACCAAATATTAGATGCAAGCATAGGGTCAGGAACCACGGGAGATGCAGAGACAAGACACAATCACTGCTCTCCAGAAACTTACAGTGTAAACCGGAGGCTTCGTGGTCCCCACCTGGATCTAAACTGGCACATCTTTCATGTGTTTATAGTTTGGAGTTCCACAAGGTACTCTGTTTGCATAAAGGGCTCTGTTTCTTTTTTTAAAAAATTGACAACTTTGATAAAGTATATAAGAAAGCTGTTTTCTAGATATAGAGATTCCCTCCCTTTTTAAGATTAGAAGGACATTTAAGTGAAAGGAATTGAGAATTTACATTTTTAGATGTGTTCATATTTCTTTGGATTTCATCTTAGTTTTCCCTCAGCAGTTGCCTTTTAGCACCTAATAGGCAATCTATAGCAATGTACAGATGTTTACAATAATGAAATTGTTCATTCTTTCCTGTGCACTACAATATCACATATTTGCTACTATCCAGAAAGTTTCTACATATATCCTTTCTATAGTTACTGTGAAGTATCTTCAAGATCTATACTTCATGACAGTTATTCTAAGATGTTTAATTCAAAGCCACTACCGAATTTCTCTATAGTATGTGGAACTTATCCCATTTTCAAAATAGAATGGTTTCAAATTAATTGACTTAAGGAGCTCCAGACCCATATACAGTGAATCTTTGCATGAGGTTTACAGGAAAAATGAGCCAAAAGACATGTAGGTACAGTATTCTTTATTATAAACAATCAGATAACAGTGTAAGTGTGCATCTGATGGATAACCGAAGCCAAGTCATTATAATAGAAAGAATAACTTCGCTCAAATAGAAACTTTCTTTGTGGTTGTTGATCTGGTTTACATTAATCTGAATTTAACATATGCCAGGATCACTAAACTTGTCATGTATTTCTGCTATTAAAATCCTAACAGGGAAAGACAAAATGTGAAATGCACGTGATATTTTTATTTGTTGAATATACATATATACATACGCTAAATATATGGGACACATTCAAAGTTAAGCAGATGCTCAAAGCCTATTGAGTGATATTTATGAAATGCTTTTGTTGCTGTTTTGTTGCTGTTACAGGAACGTCCATATCCTTAAAAGACAATATAAGGGAGGATTCTAAATGCTGGGTGGCTGGCTAACTTTTCCTGATTTATACTGAGTGTAAAACAAAACAAACCATAAAGTATATGTGTTAAATAGTGACATCTTTATAGTTCCCAAGCACTGGCAACTATAAAAAAATATCATCTGGCTAAAACAAACTTTTCACATCTCAATTTTTTAACAGAAAAACAATAAACCAACAACAAAAACTGGTAAATGTTCTGGGTCTTGTGAGCAGCTCAGAACGTTACTACAGTGTTCTCTACTGAGTGATCCTTGTCTGTTGTCCGTGGCATCCTTAAACGTGTGCTGCAATGCTGATGGATTTACAAGCTTAGCATGTCTGCTTTATTAGTTATCCTGGAGAGAATGCTATTCATTTTTTTTTATTGTCTGCCTCAAGAAATGAGTGCTAAATGACCACATTTAGAAGCCTGAAGTCAAATACTGCATCATTTTTTGAAACTCTTGGTAGCAAAAAAAAAAAAGTTGATTAAAATATGATTATGTTACAGTGACTAAAGGGTTAACTTCTCGTCAATTCTAAATTCTTCAAATTTTACAAGCATCTTAATAAAGGCTTTTGATGAGACATGATATGATGATCATATGTGCCAATTTAATAATTTATTTGTCAGAAAAATTCAGGTTCACTCCAATATTGTGTCCTGGCTTCCCAAAGCTGCATAGAAATACAAGTTTTTTGTTTGATTTTTGTTTACAGGCTAGAGTGTCTTCACCCAGGCTGGGATGCAGTCATGTGATCATAGTTCACTGTAGCCTCAAACTACTGGGCTCAGGTGATCCTCCTGCCTTGGCCTCCAAAAGTGCTGGGATCACAGCCACTGCAGACTGTTTTTTGTTTTTGATGTCATTTATAAACCACCAGCTTAGATTAATTAGGTAAAGGTGTAAGATTACCAGAGGATAAGTTAGATAGTTGATCAAGAGATCATGAAAGCTATGTTTGACCTCTGAAGCAAAAGCTATGTCGAAGTTCTCCCATGGAATGGTTCCCATTTGAGATTCCCATTAAGATTGACATATTAATGTCTTTTTTTTTAAGATTCCCATTAATGGTTCCCATTAAGATTGACATATTAATGTCTTTTTTTAATGTCTCCTAATTAATGTCACCATATTAATTAAGGAAAAGGGAGATATAGAATTATTGGAAAATAGGGAAGCAAGGGGAGAAAAAAAAAACAACTTTGAGACATGGAAAAAAAAGTAGCATTTATAGCAGGAATTCATTACCTGGTTTTGCAGAAGAGTAGGGAAATTAAAAAAAGCAGAGATAAGAAATCAATTACATTATTTCAAGCAAAAAAGGCTGTATTATTTTGTTTTGTTTTACAAGTTCTGAAACATGAAGATGTCCGTGCAAACAGATTCACTTAGATTCTTGGCTCCGTGAGGGCTGGGACGTCTCTTATTTACAGTTGGCTCTACAGTACCTAACATTGTACCTGACACCTACAGGTAGGTGCACAACACATAGATGATGAACCAATAAACTACACGTTTTTCTAAACACTACATGTGCAACCTAGTTTCAATGTAAAATGTAATACTTCTTTTCTATCGTGTATATATGAAAGTTTCTATTAGATAACACTAGTCATCATAAGAGGTGACAGTAGTAGCTCAATTATATATCTTTATCGCGTGATCATTTCTACCTTGAATACAATTTAATGAGAAAACTACCATGTGCACTAAAGCTAGAAAGAGTTGAGACAAAATGTATTAATGAAGAAACTTCTCGGATTACTGAAGTGCTGTCTGTTACAAGCATAACTGCCATCTTAAATTATACGTTTTTTAAGAAGGTGTGAAATATTTTTCCAAGCAATGCAGTGTTTAGTACATGGCAAATATATATATATATATATATATATTTATGAAAGTACCTAGAAATTTAGGGGATTTTCCTCCATCATCTAAAGTAAAATAAGAACAAGTTTTAATATTGTGTATATTTTTAAAAGATGTCTTATTATTCAGTACCACTGCTTCCTAGAAATTATAGATGGTTATAAAATTATTATAACTGTATTTGGGAATTTATTTCTGGGTATGAGACGTTAGATAACTTAGTCACTGGAGGTACTAGGTTAAATAACTCGTTGATCCAATAACGTATCCAGATTTTCTCAAAGTCTCTACCGCTGCTTTAGTAATCTGCAGAGTTAATACTTGCCAAAAGGCAGAAAAACGTGGCAAAGGACTGCCTTCCCCAGGAGACTTGAATGTGGGAAGACGAGAAAGTGTAAGTCAACGTGTGATGCTTTTCTCCAGCCTTTGGTTTCACCTGCTTCTTGACACAGGACCGAAACACGTGCTATTCTGGCACGCTGTACAGAATCCAAGTTTGCAGGACTGCCTGACACGAACAACCAGGACAGCAGGAATCTGGTCTCCTCTGTGTAAAGCAGGTGTCTCCCTGGGTGGCTCCTCGACCAAGTTCTGGTCTTATCTTGTACTTTGGGAAACAGCATTTCATGGTATTTTCATATTTATTTTTCCATATTAGACTGTTTTTACAGTGGTAGACTGAGGGAACATGACTTTTTGGCTTCACAGTTTTTTTCTTTTCTGATCACAGTTCGGTTAAAATGTACCACTGAATATCAGCACCCCCAGTTATGGGTATGTCAGCCTTAGAAGTAAAGTTTCTATGACTTATCTCATATAATTCATTGTCCAAGCGTGTTTTTTTTTCTTGCCAAGAGAACTAAGGTGACATCATTGAAACTGTAGGGCTTTCCCCGCTTTGTTTCATCTGAGTGTTATTTGCTCTAGTGCTAATTCCTGACTTTTGCTGTATAAACAGTTTCAGTATTTCTGTGAGGCCACACAACATGCTTTATGATGACACAGCTGACTAAAGCTGCCTTTTCTTCTGCTAACACCCTTCAAATACTTTTGACAATATTGCCCCTCAATTGTTTCCTCCCACAAAAGCTGCCAATTATATAGCACAGGCACAAAAGGCCTGCTTTTCCAATCGTACTGCACTGGTTTCAGGTTAACTAGAAAGCACAAAACAAATGGTGATTAAAAAAAATAGGAATAGTATACCTTCTATGTATTTACACACGTTTTTAGAAACTTCAGTTAGTTGCAAATGTGAAATGATACAAGCCACTCCCTGAAATAGCCTCTATCCTATGGAAACACAGCTTAAGACATGACCGTTATGACACTGAAGAAATGGGGTTATGCGGAGAGCCCATCTGCGTCAGAACTTTGTCCAGCCACTGCAGCGGCCCATGAAGATGAATCTCGATCCAGCAGGGGGTGCTGGTGACATCCTGGCGATGATATTCAGCGCCCCAACCCTGAAAAACAAGAGAGAAGCTGAGTGATGGTGCCACACTTAAACTCAGCCTCCAGAGCCCCACACAGAGTTCAGCGGGGGCAGAGCCCACACCCCAGGGTGGCTCCTGAGACCTGAGAGGAAGAGAACATGGCCTCTATGTTCCTGTAAACACAGGACAACTCTTGCACCAACCAGATGCCTTCAGATGAATCCAAATCAGTGCACTCCCTCAGGGTTCACAACTGAATATCTGGACCTGGAGAGGTTCTGGAACTCCAGTCACATGGGAAGCACTGACAAATAATTTTCCTTTCCACAAAGGAAGAAACTTGACCCTTTGCTCCCCTCTTCATGCCTAGGACAGTGTTTTACACAAAATGGCTACTGCAGACCAGTGAATGGACCTGAAAGGGTAAAGAGAGAACTGGAAGGTGCGCTTGGATTTTCAGGGCTAATTATCAAAGCTTGCTTGTCTCCTCTCTCTCTCTCTGGCTCACTTGGCAATTTCCCTTTTATCACCATTCAAAGGAGAGACAGTAAAAAAAAATTTTTTTTAATTTTGCATATTTTTCTCTGTATGTTATACATCAATGAAAAGATATTTTTAAATGAAGGGAGATCACAGCCAAGTAAATTACTTTTGTGACTGGGAGCAGTGATTCTCTGCAGAGTTTTTTAAAACTTGGATTTCAACACAACCGTGCTGCCTGATTACATTTTACATTCGTGACTGAGAACCTCAAGTAAACCTGTGATGTCCCCAGCACATAGCCACAACCCACCCCCCAGTCCCTTCTCTCATGTCCCCCTGTAGGTGACTGCTCCTCCCCACCAAAACCACCAACCCCTTTATCCCTGTCCACATCTGCAACTGATGGATTTATTTTGTATTTTAATGAGAAAAATGAAGACATCAGAAATGAGTTTCCATAGCGCCTGCACCCACATACTCGGCCTTTCTACCTCTTACCACAGATTAATTATGTGTGTTTCCAGATAAGCTGGTCCACCCATTTATGCACTCTCAGACCTGCCTTCCCAGAGACATCATGCCAGCAAGTCTTCCCCTTGTCTCCTGCAATCTACTGTATAGACCCATCAACACATGAACACGCTGAAATGTCTTCCATCTTCAAGACACTTCTCTACCCCCAGCAGCTACTGCCCTATGTCTTTATCCTGCTTCCAGCAAAACCCCTCAGAAGAGTCATCCATGTGGTTGTCTCAAATTGTCTCCTTCCATTCTCTCTTAAATCCATTCTGATAATCATTTCACTGCAGCTGCCAACCAAACTTTTCTTGTCAAGATCAAAAAAGACCTTGATATTCTTAAAATGAACGATCAGCTCTCAGTCTTTGTGTTACGTGGCAGCACCTGATTTAATTCATCGCACCTTCTCATCAATGCACTGTCTTTGCTTGGCTTCCAAAGCACCATACTTCTTGGTCTTATTCTACCTCACTGGTTGGTCTTTCTCAGTTTTCTTTGCTGATTCTTTCTCTTCTGTCCCATCTTTAAATGTTGGAGTGTCCCACGGCTCAGTCCTAGAGCCCCCTGTCTTCTCTGTTTATTTTTATTTATTTATTTATTTATTTATTTATTTTGAGATGGAGTCTGACTCTGTCACCCAGGCTGGAGAGCAATGGTGCAATCTTGACTAACTGCAACCTCTGCCTTCCATGTGGTTGCCAGGTTCAAGTGATTCTCCTGCCTCAGCCTCCCAAGTAGTTGAGATTACAGGTACACGCCACCACGCCTGGCTAATTTTTGTACTTTTAGTAGAGATGGGGTTTTGCCACGTTGGCCAGGTTGGTCTTGAACTCCTTACCTGAAGCGATCCACCCACCTCAGCCTCCCAAAGTGCTAGGATTACAGGCCTGAGCCACCTCGCCTGGTCCTCTCAGTTTAAACTCAAACCTTTGGCATTCTCATCCAGACTTAGGTAGTTAAATATTGTCCTTTTGCTGACAATTGCCAAATTTGTATTTTGAGCCCAAACCTCTCTCCCAAATCCAGACTCTTATATGGAACTGGCTACTCACAACCCCACTTGAATATGGACACACATCTCAATACACCTGCATCTTCTCCATCTTGATTGAAGGCAACTAACTTCATCTTCCTAACTCTTTCTCAGCCCTGCGTGTAATGTGCCTTCACAATTCAGAATCCTTCCATTTCCCACAACATGTACTGGAACCCTGCAGGTGGGAACGACTCTCACCTGAATACTGCAATAGCCCCCTAACTGCTTTCCCTACTTGCAACCTGGCCTGTATAGTATCTATCCTCCACACAGAAGGCAGGGCAGTCCTTTACAAACAGAATCAGATCATGAAAATGGTTGCTCCGATCCCTGCAAAAGCTCACCAGCTCCTTAGAGTCACCGCTGAACTCCTGGCAGTGGCTCAGGAGGCCTCGCTGTGGTTCCCTGAGGCTGCTCTCGTCTCACTCCCCCTGCCCATTAGGTCCCAGCCATACTGCCCTGGTTCGCTCCTCAGAGTCTCCAGGCATCTGCTCTTGCCTTGCTCTTCCCTCTGCTTCTGCTCTTCTGCCAGAGGCACCTGGGCCTAGCTCCACGTCTCCTTCCAGGCTCCGCTGACCTGTCACCTTTTCAGTGCGGCCCACCCTGATGTGCAGATGACTCTACTGCCCAGTGCTCCAATTCCCTTCACCCCTGCCTAGACTTTGTCTTTCTATCCCCCTTCTTTGTTATGGCTATTGTTTATTATCTGTCTCTCCCTCCTAGAATACTGGTTCCCTGAGGCCAGAGATCTGTGAGAAATCATTGGTATGTCCCACAGCCTGGCCTGACACATGGCAGGTGCTCAATAAATATTTGTTGACTGACTGACTGAGTCCTAGAATCAGTAAAAATCAGAGCTGAAAGAAACCTTAAAAGAGATCGGATGTATCAGCCTAGTGGTGGCCACCAGTGTTTGCTCGCCTACAATTTTTTTTTTAAAAACTGATCATCTATAGTTATATTTACTATGGATTCATTTTAAATTACCTGCAGTATTAGGAACAGTTTGTCTTCTGTATCAACTGTGTAGCTTTATGAATTTAAATGCTGCCTATCTGAGAAATGTATCTAGTTATCAGGAAAATCAGATTTCTATATAAGCTTATATTTAATTAGAGTGAAATAACTACCTACGAGATATTGGCATTTTATCCTAATTTTAAAAACACAGACCTGGAAAAAAAAAACAAAACTGTATGATTCAAATGATGCCCTCTGCTGGTTCTAAAGCAACAGAACATTTTAAAAGATTTCCAAGTTACCTGTAACTTTATAATATATGCTTTTAAAATATTAAATTTGAATGAAACTGCTTTGTCACTATGAAAGAGAAATGATTTCAAGCATATTTTTAAATTAGAAACTATATTGTTCTTACTTTTAAAATAATTACTAAGATTATAAATAATAAAAACTTAATTTATAGAAAATTATTTGTCATGGGAATTTTAAAGTGCAAATAAAATTTACTTGGAAAAAAAAAACGCCTGGACCAAGCCACACTGATTCCTTGGATGGATGCATGGCAGTATGAAAACTGTCAATATACCCAGGTAGTGTGATAAACAAGTCCAGATTTTGAAATATTAGACTGATTTGTGAGTACTTTGCCATAGATAAAATAGCAGGTGATGAAACTGAAGGCTTTGGCTTCCATATACAAACCCAGTTGTTTTTCCTTCCCACTAAGAAACTACCTTGGTTCTCCAGCCTTCATAGCAACCTTAATAAGATTCAATATGAGAAATTCAACAAATACTCATCAACAGAACACAAACTACTCTCAGAATTAATCACACCCGTCTGTTGTTTCTATTCCAAATTATTTATACCTTCATAACAGTACTTATTTTTGTCTTGTATTAAAGCCGATACTGCCAATTTTGTAGCTTATTCATAAATATTATCTACCTCATGTGCCTGAATGCTTTTTTTTTTGAGAAGGAGTCTCACTCTTGTTGCCCAGGCTGGAGAGCAATAGGGCCATCTCGGCTCACTGCGACCTCTGCCTCCAGGGTTCAAGAAATTCTCCTGCCTCAGCCTCCCAAGTAGTTGGGATTACAGACACCCATCACCACGCCTGGCTAATTTTTGTATTTTTAGTAGAGACAGGGTTTCGCCATGTTGGTCAGGCTGGTCTCAAACTCCTGACCTCAGGTGATCCGCCCGTCTCAGCCTCCCAAAGTGCTGGGATTATAGAGGTGAGCCACCGCGCCCAGCCTGCCTGTATGCTTTCTAAGAATAAGGAGAGTATCTTACTGAATTCAGATAAATTCACGAACATTTACTAAGTGATAATAGTGCTTGGCAATTTGAAGGATGGAAAAATCTCTGTTGCATTAGTCCAAAAAATTGCTGTTGTTACATAATACCATCTGCATTAAAAACAACCAGCTACCTTACTTGTTTTTCCTCAAAAGAATTTTCATATAACTACTAAACAAGAATTTTCACATAACTGCTAAACAAGACAGTTCATACTCAAAGAGGAACTCCTCCTAAAAACAACAGAATTCGATAAAAATTAGTTTTGTCTATCTGAATTGACGGCAGAACTGCCACCTCAGTCAGGGTGCTTTTTGGTTTTGTTTCATTTTTCACGGAACATTTTATAAAGTGGTGGCAAGCACTCCTTACCTTAACAAAACTCATCCGGATGGTGCACATCTTCGTGAGCTCATACACGACTTCAAAGCCATGGTGAACTGACTGGGCCAGGAGCTGAGCAAAGAGCTGGTTGTTGAAGACCTTGAGGCTGCAGCCGCTGGGGATCTTGCAGACGGTGGCTGGGTGGAAGCCGTGTTGATAGTTGCAGTTCCGGCTCTGGACAAAGATGCTGCTGTCACTCACGCACTCGGCATACACCTCTCCCCCGACGTAGTACAAGTGCACACCTGCAGACACAAAAGCACTGCCTTCCTTCACTGCCCTTTCATAGTGTGCCTCCCCCACTGATTCCTGAAACCCTAAGAGATGTGACTCCCTCCTATTAGGTTGGTTGTCAGATCACTGATCACATGAATGACAGTGTGACCTAAATGCCACTTAGATCAATTGTAATCTGTGCTTTTTCCACAAATTCACTTAAAAATGGATTGCGGCTGGGCACAGTGGCTCATGACTATAATCCCAGCACTTTGGAAGGCCGAGCTGGGTAGATCATTTGAGGTCGGGTGTTCAAGACTAGCCTGGACAACATGATGAAACCCCTTCTCTACTAAAAATACAAAAATTAACCAGGCATGGTGGTGGGTGCCTGTAATCCCAGCTACTCGGATGGCTGAGGCAAGAGAACTGCTTGAACCTGGGAGGCAAAGGCTGCAGTGAGCCAAGGTAGCACCGCTGAACTCCAGCTTGGGTGCCAGAGTGAGACATCATCTCAAAAATAAAAATAAAAAGTGGCTTGCAACCTATGCTAACGATCACTCCCAAGAACCAATCAGTAATGTCTCATATTCTATTCCTCCCATCACTCCTGTTTATTCATTCCAAAAATAAGGTTTTATAATATTAGAAATGAAGTGACTATGTCATGTGAAAAATCAAATAATCCTTTGTGTACATATACAAATTTTAAAATTAAAAACTGGACACAGTTAATATCATGAAAATGTTACTTAAGTGCACACATTAAACCCACTTCAGAGGAAACAATGACACTTTAAAAATTTACCAATTCTTTTAAATCTGTTTCTCTTAACAAATACCTCAGAGACCTATTTCAAGTTTGTCATTCACTAATATAAATCACATAAATAATGTCTATTTTTAATTTGTGAACAGTGAAATTTCTACCACATTTTTAAGATACAGTAATATAAAAACTCATAAGCAAAATGTAGCCTTTATCACTTTATCTAACGTTCTTGGAATTAAAATTCAAAAGAGCATCCTGAGGCTGGATGCTCACGCCTGTAATTCCAGCATTTTGGGAGGTCAAGGTGGGTGAATTCCTTGAGGTCAGGAGTTCGAGACCAGCCTGGCCAACATGGTAAAACCCTGTCTCTACTAAAAAATACAAAAATTAGCCGGGCTTAGAGACACACGCTTGTAATGCCAGCTGCTCAAGAGGCGGAGGCTGCAGTGAGCAGAAATCACACCACTGCTGCACTCCAGACTGGGTGACAGAGTGAGAGTCCATCTCAAAAAAAAAAAAAAAAAAAAGAAAAGAAAAAGAAAGAAAGAAGGAAAGAAAGAAAGAAAGAAGAAGAAATGCATCCTGAGAATGTTGTTGCTCCTGCTAATTTCCATCCCAAATTAAATTTTAGTTGATTCTTTCCCTCCAAATGTCTGGGTTTGAGATTTAATATAAATGCATATAGCAAAGGGGCTGATGTCAGGAAAAAAAATGAAGAAACTCTAGTCTAGTGAATATTGAGCATCAGAACAATTTTACTCCAACTTTTGATGGGAAAAAACGTGTCCAGCACTAGAAGTCAACATGATTATACAGAGAATCACCATCCAGTTAAACGGTGTTTGTAGAAACAATCCAGAATATACTTACACAGTTGGCGTCTCCTCGACAGGAAACTGTGAAACTTTGAAAGAACAGTACTTACAGGCTTCCAGGGCTGCTCAGGGCCCGGTGTGCGTAAGTTTGAATTTAGGAAACGTTACTGATGGAGCTGCTGGGAGTTTCTTTGGTCAGGGCCTAAGCAGTACTTGAGGCAGTTCTGCATTATATGTGACTACATCCCACCACATTTATTGTTTCCTTTTCCCTTAATACAATTTCAGAAAAGAACAATTTTAAGCGGTATGTATCCCAGCCACATCACTCTGAAGAAACTGACCCAGGGGTGCACAGCTAAAGCACAGCCTGGATATCCAGACCACAGTTGTCTTGCCGCTGCCTGTCCTCTTCCTCAGCCAGAGGCTGGCCCCCTTCTCTGCTTCCCTCAGCCTTCCTCTCCCTTCTCTTTCTCCTCGCTGTTACTCTCCTGAACGGCCTTGGGCCCACGCGGTGGTACCCGGGGGCAAAAGGATGGTCCTGACTGGCTGGGAGAGTTACTTGGCTGGGCTCCCATGATCATAAACAGAATGCTATGCTCAGGCGAAATGCAAGCACCACTTCCTACAATAAGCCCCGTGGGCTCCAAAGGGGAAAGGCCTGCCTTGTCGGGGTGGGTGGAGGATTTTTCAAGAGGGAAAGTAGAAGGAGCCAGAGTGGAGTACTAAGGATTTGGTCAGTATTAGAATTGAATGACCTTCAAATATATAATCCTCTTAAAACCTATGACACAAAATAAATATGATTTCTTTTATTATGAGTCTGGTCTTTGGGGGGTGGTTTTCAATCCTTTTAAGGGCATCCGCAACCACATCCCACTTTGGCAAAGCTACCAAGGCAGAGAAGAGCCTGGGCAGGTAGGCAGTCATCTAGCATCCTGAGAGAGATGAGCAGAGCCAATGGGACAAGCACACGGAGTCCTCCCTGAACACCAGGAAAAGGCGGAACCCAGCCTCAGGTTGAAAGAGGCTGGATTCTGGCTAGAGACACCAGCATCGGAGGAAGAGTCAAGTAGCCCAAGGATGTGATTTGCATCCATTCGGTAGGCTAATAGCAGCTTCAAACTCTCGTATCAGATTCAAGATCACCACAGAGTAGAGCAGTAGTTCTTTTTTTTTCTTTTTTGAGACGGAGTTTCGCTCTTGTTACCCAGGCTGGAGTGCAATGGCGCGATCTCGGCTCACCACAACCACCACCTCCTGGGTTCAGGCAATTCTCCTCCCTCAGCCTCCTGAGTAGCTGGGATTACAGGCACGCGCCACCATGCCCAGCTAATTTTTTTTTGTATTTTTAGTAGAGACAGGGTTTCACCATGTTGGCCAGGATGGTCCCAAACTCTTGACCTCGTGATCCACCCGCCTCGGCCTCCCAAAGTGCTGGGATTACAGGCGTGAGCCACCGCGCCCGGCCTCCCAAAGTGCTGGGATTACAGGCGTGAGCCACCGCGCCCGGCCGAGCAGTAGTTCTTAAACCTTAGCTTGCACCAGACCACTTGCAGGGCTTCTTAAAACAGATCACGAGTTCAGTGGGTCCAGGGTGAGGCTGGACGACCTGCACTTCTAACAGTTCCCAGGGGAGCCCAATGCTGCCTCACTGCACCACTCCCTGGCAACTACTAGATTGATGCTCAGGCTGTTTACAGACCAGCCTTGGGAACAGGAAGGGTTGGACAAAATAAGTGTGTGATACTTGGCAACTACTATCAGACAAAAAGTTTCAAGAAATTCAGTATCCCACTCTGCTTATAACAGCGGAAGTCTCTTGTGTTTTCATATCATTTCAGAATTTCACCTCATGGAAGGTCATTATTTGTTAACCTTATGTTATGTGATATTCTTTTTTTTTTTTTTTTTGGACACCATCTCACTCTGTTGCCCAGGCTGGAGTGCAGTGGCCCAATCTCAGCTCATGGCAAACACCTCTGCCACCTGGGTTCAAGCAATTCTTGTGCCTCAGCCTCCGGAATAGCTGGGACTACAGGTGCCCACAACCACACCCGGCTAATTTTTGTATTTTTTTAGTAGAGAGGAGGTTTCCCCATGTTGGCCCGGCTGGTCTCGAATTCCTGACCTCAGGTGATCCACCCACCTTGGCCTCCCAAAGTGTTGGGATTACAGGCATGAGCCACCGTGCCCAGCCAGTAGTATTCCTTTAAGGTGGTACAGTAAAACCATGAACATGTGCAGATTTTACTGCAGCCTACATTCTGACAGTTCTGTAAGAAATGTTTAGAAAAGACATCACATCCATTATTGTTGCAATCAAATATGTCATTAATACGTTCATTATTGTAATTAAGAAGCATTAGAAGTAGAAGGCAATGCTAGTGTTACAATCCTGCAGCCTGTTTTAACTCCTAGCAATAAGGAAGAAATGTTCCAAAGGAAGTACTACCTGAAATCACAAAGAGAACCCTGGCAATGCCGCGCTCAAGCAAGTTCCGCCCACATCCTGGATTACTTATCTCTGTGGGCTGCGCCTTTCTTTATCTAAACTTTCCATTTGTGTGTGACTGCCACCCACTTTTTGGGAGATTAGGGAGTGTGGAGTCCTGTGTTTGTGGTTAATGAGGACCAGAAGAATTTTGGATTTAATTTGGGTTTGCTGGGATGAACTACAAAATGTGTCTTTAATCCTCTTCTGTTGTCTTGAATGACAGGAAATGACTGGGAAGAGGGCAGGTTGGGCAGGCCGGTGAGAGTGTGCCAATCTCTGGAATCCACTAACAGAGGAGGAAGTCGGTGTCTCAAAGTGGAAGGAAGGTGCAGGGATACCCTCCTTACAGGGAGGGAGGCGAAAAGATCGCCATAAAAGGCAGAGTGTCCTGCACAGAGAATGCCGAAGCCTCTCCACTCCCCTTAGGATAAAACCTAAACGTCCCAGCACAAGCACAACGCCTCCTCTCGAGTTTGTAATTGATCTTCACCTTACCTATGTTGCCTTTTCTTCTGCACAGCTGTTTTAGAAGCTTTAGGAAAATACGAAAATGGTATTTTTAAAAATTCCTTATATAGTTAGATACAAACTCTAATAGATGGGAGAAAGGACATGAAGCCTGAGATTTGCTCTAAAATATTCTAGCAAAAATATCGTAGAGGGATAGATGAAAAAGAATGGCACAGAATATGAATCTTTATTGAAGCTGGAGATAGTAAGATGAAGATTCATTATATTCCTCTCTGTTTGTGTCTATTTGAAATTTCCCACAATAAAAAAAAAATGTTTTAATGGGTGGTTAAAAATACTAATGATATAAAAGTACAGATTTCCAGATCCACACCCCGACCTTGGTCAGAGGATGGAGGTAGGTCCTCCACAGGACTATGCCTAGGGTTGGGCACCGCACAACCACTGCAAACCAGGGTTTGCCTCCTAGTCTGC